GTATCTTTATATATTGATTTCATTATTTCAATATTACTTTCTAATATTTATTTTAGGACAAGACCAGAGTTGTGTCTCCTATTATTGATGTAATTAATATGGACAACTTCCAGTATGTGGGGGCGTCAGCTGATTTAAAAGGCGGTATGTACCTGTACTGGAATACAAATTTAAAAAAAAAAAGCATCAAGAATCAAAGCTCATAATCACTGCAGTTGTAGAATGAGCAGTTAACGTACTGTTCTTCCCTTTCACATATCTAGTTTAAGTTCTATAAGTCAGTTGTTTCTAGGCTTCAATTTTAATTGGCCTTATTGTCTTCTGCCTTAAAACAGTTCATCTTTATTATACTAATTCTTAAAAGTTTATGCTGCAATGTGCAGTACTCACTCCAATGCTTGCAGGATTGTGTAAATGTGTCAGAAGCAGCTTATGGCCAGAGCTTATGATTCTCTTTTTAGATAAGACAGGCTTTAATTGCTCTCTAGATTAGAAGCCCATCAGCAATGCAGTGCCTATGAGTTTTTTTCAAGATGCTGGTTTGCTTAAAAAATTTAAACTCTTCTGAATAAGCAGAAAGCTTTGGAATGTGTTTAAAAAATAAATGTTTCTGTTAGCCATGATCTGTAATTGTGAAGAGAGTAACATGTGACCTTTAAAATTTGTAGTGTTTATACCTTTACAGTTACAAAATCTCCTGTTAAATTGAGTTTAGAAGTAGTACAGTTTCACTATGTCTAGCTAGTATAAACTGTTGACAGCAAATAGTAAAAAGACTTGTGAAGCCCTCAAAAAAAAAAAAAAAAAAATTCTCTCCTCCCCTTTTCCAAAGGGGGAAGGGCAACCACACACTAAATTCCTTACTTATTACAAGTTTTTAAAACTTTTTTCACTGTAAGCAAGAATCTAGCATTTAAAATAGCTGTGTTCTGCCCCCTCCCCCCCCACCTTTTTTTTTTAAATAATTGTTCCCACAACCCTGGAAATTGGACTGTCTGCACAGATGTAAGATGAGCCACAATATAGAAATTACAGAGTTCTCTTCCCATAATGTTTCAGCGTTTTCTGAATGGACTTTCTTGAGTGAGGAAGGAGAAACCAATTTTGAGCCTGTTCTGTCAGTTAGTAGTCTCTAACTGGCCACCAAGTGTTGTTCCAGTAAACTAAAATAAAAGCAGTATTTGCATAATGTCACATATGTTTCAATTTCCAGTCAGTGATCTGGAGGTGAGAGGTTCTATATTCTTTTAATTAACATTCTGAAATAACACCTACAGTGCATATATTCACAGTATGCTAATGTATAGTTCCGTGCTGTTATCTGTGTGCCAGCTTTATTAAAACCTTAAGGCTTTTACCCAATCTATTCATTATGCCTCGAGTATGGAAATCTCTATACCATTATGTGGCTTTTATTGTTGTCTCTGCATAGGAGGAGGAATTCTTTCATTGAAACCTTCGATTGGTTCCTGCAGGGTTCATGCTCTTTAATTCTTCCTAAGCGAAGTGGGAGAAGATTGAGAGATCATTTCACTTGTTACTGCTTTTCATGCTTCATCTTTGGAACTACGTTCCCCAATTTTTTTTTTTTTTTTTTTTTTTTTTTAAAGTGCATGGAGCTTCCATACTTCTAGACTGAGGAGTGAGAAGCTGTCTTTTTTTAATGTTAAAATAGAAATTTTGCGCATACCAGTGTTTAAAGGTATTGGGGGCCTGTTGAAACATGAATAATGTATTTCTTTTCACTTCCCAGAGGACAGATTACCATGTTAGCGGCACTACAGCTTTTGGCATCACAGGACACTTTCATTGGGCCAAGTCTAAACATGGAAACCAAGCTATGCTTTCAACCTTAGATACAGTATCTGTGCGGCTGAAGATGGGGAGTTGAGACAGCTGGGACAGCATTTGTGCCTGGTCTGTTTTGAAAGGACTTAATCACCCAAGACAAGCAACCTAGCAAATGCTACAAACTTTTTAAAGCGGACAGGGCTGAAATAATTCCCAACTCTGGCCACTCCTAAATCCATGCACTTCATGTTACAAATATTTTTTGAGAGGGGATTTGCAAAAGTGTTTATGCTGCCCTGAGAAACACTTTAATTACTGGAATAAACTGTAGTTAACTGAGATCTAATGATTTAGAGTATGCCTATGATGCAGGTTACACTGGATGGAATTTCATACTGGATATGCACTTGTGTTTAAAAATACCCCTTTTACAGAGTTACTGATATTATCTCATTGAGTGCAGATTTTTCCCAGAGTCAGTGAAAATGGAGACAGAAAACCAGTTTTTATGGGTAGACAATTTACACACTTGTTCTGAGTTTGTAACAGAGTGCTGTGTTCCAAAAGAGACCCCTTGTGTTCACTGGAGTATATGTAACTCTACCTCTACTGCTTCTGCCGGAGAACAGTAGGTTTTTTTCAAGTTCTCCCAGATGCAAGTAATTTTGCCCGGTACATATGATGAAATACAACTTTTAAACTGCATGGAAATATTGGAGCTCATTTTCCTTTTCATGCTGGAGGCTTTGCAGTACTACAGATTGTAGCCATTTTGCTGTTTTGCTACTTGAAGTTTTGGAGTAGTTAGGCGGTCTTTCGTTTTTACAGTGCAACACTTCATGAAATACTCAAACATGGAGAGAAAGAGTTGGTATGCATGCTGTAAAGACTGTTCAGGATAATTTCTATATTGAGTGTGTGTGTGATAAATATCTTGTGAGTTAAAATGAAAACTGTTTAGTTTTCAACTCTCCGCATCAATCATTACAATGCACGTTTATGGATGCAGACAGACAGTTTGTAGGACTGTAATTGTTGTCTGTTTATCTTAACTTTTTCCCCACTTCCCCACAAAGTAATTGCTTTATCTTTATGCTGGAGAAAGAAAACTATTGACATCTGTGCACCAGAAATCTGGAAATCATTCATTACATGACCTCATAGGATCTCAACGTGTTTGGCAGCAGGCAGTCTGTATAAGGCTGATTTGCTAGGTGTACTGGGAGAGGGCGCTGGACCTTGTGTGGTTTTTTAATAGATGTTCATGCTTGTGGGCATAATCCAGCTCAAAAACTGTTATGTAAGTGTTTCCTGTAGGAAGTCTGTCTTATACCAGCTGTGTATCATTGCCTAAAGGAGGTAGTTCAAATGGTTGTCAGGTAGAAAGCTGCTGTAGGTGACCTATTGGTCTTGTCTACTCTAGTGATCTTTATGTGCTTCTGTGCTTAACTCGCAAAAGGACCAGACCAGCTGTTGCTTTGTGTACACACATATACGTACATACATAAGGGAAGTAAGATTTTGGTGCTCTAGCGCTTGCTTCAGGTTTAAAAACATGATGCACTTAGAAGCATGCAGTGGGAAAGGAGGAAGTTAAATGAATGTAAATAAGATAAGTTGGAGCTACATAACCTGTTGTGACATGATAGAGCTCCTGCTGATAGAGCAGTACCAAGGGTACTGCATAAAGCCTGTGTAAACATAAATGTGATCGTTTGATAAGAGTTGAAATGCCATTTTACAGTGAAGACTGGGAACATTTTGTAATGGCTGGAAGATCTTCATAGAATGTTGTACTTGGTGTAAAGATATGAGACGTTGGATTCATATATAAAGCTTTTGCTTTGTCACTTGTTGACTGGGTTTCTTACTTTGTGTAATAGATGGCAACAAGAGAAATCAAAGTTATTTTGTGTTTGAGACTACTTTTTTTATTGTCCTGTCAACTTCTTTACCTTTCATCTGGACTCCTACTTGTTTGTTTTCTACCCAGAAGTTTGTACAAGTTTAAATTTTTAATTTAAATTACAGTTCCCAATGTTTTCAGTCAACATTATGTTACTACAAGTTGAATGATGACCACAGTCTCTTTAACATCCTACTCTCTAATATTTCCTTCTTGAAGGCTTTGATTGGAACCTGGTGTTCAAGTGGGATTACATGACGCCAGAGCAAAGAAGAGCACGGCAAGGAAATCCAGTTGCTCCCATAAAGTATGTCTGTACCACCACTTCTCTGTCTAATCGATTGTAGTTTGCAACTAAACAAAGTTAGAAATCATCTTCTCTGAGTCTGAAAGGGGATCTTTGCTATAGCTTTTGTTAACTTTTATTAATATTGAAACTTCATTCATATTTAGGTAGCATTATGAGACACTCAGAAATAAATTGTATTTTAAAAAATACTTTAAAGCATACTGGTAGATTATTTACCCTTAACAAAAAGTAGATGTCACTTTGTTTAAAGTTGGTATGTTTTGAGGGCTAAAACTCCAGCGACAGTTTTAATGTTTTATTGCTGGCAGAAATTGCCACCCTTTACATACGGAACTTGTGAGCCAAATGGAGATTTGGAAACTGCCTCAGAGGGTGGTCATAGGACTATAGATGCCACAGAAATGTGTGCAGACAGCGTTTGAAGTGATAGTTGCAAGATTAGTTGCATTCGAAAGTATTGCAAATTTTTTCAAGGAGGTATTAACCTTGAGGTGCAAATAATAGTTACCTCCCAGTTCATGGTTCTGTAAGTACTTAATTTAATTTTTCTTGTCTGTTTAGGACACCCATGATAGCTGGTGGGTTATTTGTGATGGACAAATCCTATTTTGAAGAACTAGGGAAGTATGACATGATGATGGATGTTTGGGGTGGAGAAAACTTAGGTATGTGTATTATTTACCTTTGGATCAGTCTTGAAAGAAAGCAGGTTTCATCATTGCCTTTACTGTCACGGAGTCTTCCTGATTTTGTGCAAAGAGGGTTAAAACCAGAGTTAAAACTTCACATGCATTATTGGCAAAATCCAAAAAGTTTATTTCAATGGAAGAATTAAAACAAGGTAGGAAGTATATGCTGAATATGAGAGAATAGAAGTATTTGTTCATTAAGCAGTGAAGTTTTTTTGTAATGGAAGTTGGCTGATAAACAAAAAATTACAGGATGTAGATAGGAAATTACTTTGAAAAATGCCATCTGGTTTGAAAGTCACATCTTCATCTAAAGTTCTTGATTAAAATACAATAATGTTTAAATGCTGGCAATTTAAGGCATGTTTTAAGATGTTGCTGAAATTTAATCGTGAAAAGTAGAACACAGGAGTTCATGAGTTTAATGTTCTTACATACATTTTAAGAAATCAATTAAAACTTAGCTGACTGAAGAATAATCTATTTCTTAACATTAATAATACTATACTGCCTGGCATCTAAACTTAGTGAGGTTTTTAATCAGCCCTTTGAGATAATTATGGTTGAGAAGGCATTTTTGCTGTAACCACTTATTTTCGGATGTTTTAAGTGAGTGGGATTTAGGGAGGAGGGGCTGAGAGAACTTGTGCTTTAGCCATTTCTTCTTTGACCTGGTGGTTAGATCTGGCTTTAGTAGGTTTTTTTGGCTTTTTGCATTACAATATTGTACAAAGTTGTTTTTTTCCTCCAGTTAAGACCAGTATACTTGCATTGAAACAAAAAAGATTTGGGAGGAGCAGAACTCTACAACTTCTCAAGACTTCCATTCTGTCATTAATTTAGTTTTTTAGGGTAGAGATTCATCTCAGACATTCTACGTAGTGTGTTTTAGGACCAGTTCTAAGGATAGAAACTTGTCTACTGCACGTGCTAGCTGCAAAATCCTAAAATACCTTGAACTTGTAAAAACCCATGAGTATTCTGAGTTACTGAAATATGCATAAGCATTGAGCATATGCTTGGCCTACAAGGAAATGTCTGCTGTATACAGCACAATAATATGGAGACATGCTAACCAAATGTTTAACACTCTTGTAAGGAACTTAAAGGTTGGAAGAGGCATCCTTACAGTCCAGTCTCTGACCTTCCTGTGCAATACTCAAAGAAACCTCTTATGTATTTTGAACAATTACTTTTTGTGTTTCTGTTTTCTCATTATTTTGGCTGTATATTGTCTTAATATGAATATCATAGTTTTTCATTTTTTAAATGTCCTGGAAAGTCATTGGATAAACTTACTACAGCAGTACTCTCATTCACTTTGAAACCCTCTCTTGCCACTAGAGCACTTAAATATTTGATTAGCTGCAAGCATGTACTTGAGCGACTGAGTTTTTTCTGAAAACTTAGCAGCTGCTTTTATGCTTTGATAATTGAGGCCTTGATAGCAGGAAAGGGCACAAGCAATAGCTCCGCACTCAAGGTGAGAAGACTGCATGCAAAAAGCTGTTTATGTTGCTCCTGCTGCATTCTGTTCCCTCTTCTCCATGGGAAGGAGGAGATGGAGACTTTGGGGTGCCTTTTCTCTGCTCCCTGAAAAGGCAAAGTCAGTCACTACAGCAGACAGCTAACGATTTGTTCATAGCTGCCAGACTAACTGAAGATGAGTAAAAAACACATGGTGTATGATATAATTGGCAATAAATGACACGTGCACCAAACACCGGAAATATGTGATGTACAGTTTAAAATTCAACATGCACACTCGTCAGGCCTGTTTACTCTCAAGCATATCTCTGGATCAGCAGCATGATGTTACATGCAAATAACCTGCTAGATGGACTTGCAAAATAATTCTATACATTATATTTATGCTTTATAAAACTTAGCATTTTTCCTTCAAGCATGTACAGAGCAGCTCTTGTATGAGATTTTGTTCACATGTTAGATTAGTCTCAACTTTACAAATTTCAAGATGGGCCTGCAGTATTTTGCCTAAATTAGCCAAGAGACAGCTCTTACCATGAAGATATGGTGCATTTTCAGATTGTTGCTAAAAGTGACTGATAACACGTGCTTGCTGTACAAAACGTGGATCAAGGTTTGTTCAGTCTTGTCTTGAATTCGTAAACTCTAATTCTCAGAATCTTTACAATGCTTTTTGATAAGCATAGGAGGATTGGAGTACAATGGGGAACTGGTTGGACCATTAGAAGGTTTGGGTTTAATTTGAAAACCTAGGCTTTTCTTACTGACTTTGCTAAAATCAGGGAGTGAGTAAGACATTCCTTGTCTTCTATATCGATGACACACTACAGTAAAAAGAGCAAATCTGTATTGAGAGGTGTAACATAATCTCATGCAACTGAAGAATGTTTAATATTCTGTTTATGCCTTTTTAATGAAAAACTGTCCACTGAAATTGTTACGAGAGTAAAATTTCTTCTCCCACTGAGTGTGGCAAAAAAGATATCTTAAGGGAGTTTATGGGTTTTTTTAAGTTTCAGTTGCTGTATATTCCTTTTTCTTTAAAAATCCACACGGGTTTTAGAAGCCATGTTTGTGCAAATAAGAATTAGTTTGCTTCTCCCTATTTACTAGTCCTTTGCTGTCTTCCCCATAGAGCTATTTTTCATCATTTTCACTTTTTTTGAGATTCTTCAGAAAGTATGGAAAAAAAAAAGCTGGAAAGTATACATGTAGGTTTACATTTCTGGGAATTTATGGAGGGAGAATTAATCAAATTAATGTACACAGTAGCAGAAGCTATGAATAATGAAAAAAGTTGACACGAGATATTTCTAAATTACTTCTAAAACAAAAATACTTTTTCAATGCCTACATACATTCAACAGATGACAGTACTTTTTGGATTAAACCTTTGTATGAATCATTTAAAAAAGAAAGAACTTTAGGCTTACTGCATGGGCCTTTATTTTTAATGAGAATGTCACTTTACCTCATTTCAGAGGTGTCTATTTCCTAATACTTTAAGTCTAATACTTGATTTCAAGCATTTAGTCTGCACTTGCTTGTCTAATACAAAAGCCTTTATCTTTGATCAGATCTCCCTGTCTTTCACTAGGCTGTCCTCACTGAGTGCAGCATCCCCTCACGTTGGGGTAATAACTGATGAACTTTCAAGCAAAACTCCATGAATAATGCTTCAAAGTGGTACAAGAAAACTATTACTCCTCTGCTTTCATAATTTGAGCAGTGTGGGACCAAATTTGAGCTAGACACGGGAAAGCCTGAAGTCTTTTATCTATGTTAATTTGTTCTGGTAGAAACATAGAAGTGCTTTTGTTACTAACTTGCTTAATAGAAGCAGTGACCAGTCGTTTACTGTGGTTCTCATTTTTTTTCCTTCTAAGCTCAAAATAAGAGGTGTAAGACTGAAGTCAGTGCTGTGAAAAATGTTCAGAGAGAATGTCATGTTCAGTTGCTTTAAAAATTACTTTTGCCTATTTTCCCATGTAATTCAACTGGAAAATCAAGACTGTAAGTTACTGGCAAAGACAATATTGTCATTAATATTTTTGGAATATGATCTGTCTATAGATTGGACTATGTGGCCTGTCTAGGATTCATGAATATGCCTAATCGGCCCCAATGCAACAGAATTTATCATTGAAGTAAAACAAATGGGAAATGATCCTTGTAAAAGCAAAGACCATTCAGAAGAAAGGCAGTAAACTTGCACTGTCAACAGTTGAAATCACAGCACCTCTTTTGTTGTGGTTTTTTTTTTTTTCCTTCCCTTTTCTTTTTCTCTGGACAGACCATCAAGACGACATGCTCTCTAACCTTTGGGGTTTTTTTTCTAATTTAACTTTTCAAGTAATGCTGTTTTTATGACTTATTTTGTGTATGTGGGAGGAAGGCTTCTGGGGGAAGGAATGGCGCTTAGTAAAGGATAGACACTGACTTTAAATTAGAGCTGCTTAGTATTTTTTTTTTTTTAAATCTGTGGAAAGATGATTATGAAGAGGCTTGAAACTAAGGGTAGCACTCACTAACTGGTGGCAGCTGCTGGACTAAGGGGGGAATCATCAAAATTGAAACAGTGCTACTGGAACCACCCTTCTTACTGTGCTGATTTGGAATGAATGAGGAAAAGTTCTCTGTCAGCCCTAGGTGACTTCTGCTGTCAAAGGTCTAAGTTGAGAAAGGTGTATAAATATTTTTAGACCTTCTTGTTCTCACTAGCTGGGTCAGCGCACTAGTTTGGCTTAGAAGTGTACTGTCCATAAACTGCTTCAGTTTACAGAAGCTTCATCCTTATTCAGTCTGTCTTCAAATCAAGATTGACTTGATGTAACTCCTTCCACAGCCAGTTTTTGGGAGTGTTTGGTTATCTGCTGTAGTAAGTTAGGAGTTTGAATCTATTGATTGTTTTATCGTGCCTTGATTTTGTCTGCTGTGTTATTGCATCTTTAGCTGAAAACGTTTATTATAAGCTAGATCATGAATTTATCTAAGTGTATCAACTTTTGCTTACCCTATAGATAAAGCACAGTAATGGTACATATAGACCTAACTTACTCTGCCAAATTGCAGCATGGTTTGGGGAATGCTGGTAACCTCAGAAAAGAGAAGACATACAGTTTTGCTTCCAAGTTAATATGATTATTTCTCTTGAGCTTGGAGAATAATAAATTCTCATATATGCCTTTGTTTATCCTGGAATTTCTCAGAAAACTATCTTACTGATCTTCTCAGCAATAAAAGCCTTCTCTCAATAAAAGCCTTCTCTGTAAATAGTATAGTACAAAATTACAGTATTTTGTGATGTTGGTCTTTCATTCATGTTTTTATTTCAGAGATCTCATTCAGAGTTTGGCAATGCGGTGGGAGCCTAGAAATCATCCCTTGCAGCAGAGTGGGTCACGTATTCCGCAAACAGCATCCTTACACATTTCCCGGTGGGAGTGGTACCGTGTTTGCAAGGTAACTGTTAAGTCAAGTCTTCAGCTAAATAGCAATGTTTTGGATTTCTTCAGATGATCAGCAGGTGGCAGTAATTTCATTTTAAGGATCTTTTCTTTAGAAATATTTGCAATATTATCTAGCATGGAAAAATATTAATTAAAAGGAAATTAATGACTTTGAGACAACTATACAGATTGAGAGAAGAATCTGAGAGTTGAAAAAGGGAAACTTCTAGTAGACACAGCCTGAGAATCTGGAAAAGAAGGAAGTGCTTAGCTTGGCATTCTATCAGTTTTGAGAACTTTGTGTTTATTTGGTTTTAAAGAAGGTTTTATTTTCAGAACTGTCTCATAAATCTTCATTTTATAAAATCTTCATTTTATAGAAACAGTTTCATCATTCACTAAGAGCCAGAATACACTTAAGTTATGAATATTCTTTGCTTGCTTTTTGTTAATACATGATTGGTATGTGATACACAAATGATTATGTAGACTGATTCTGGCATTTGTGCCAGTCTGTTGGCAACTTCATTCTATATCCTATCTGCCTTTCCTGTGCTAGGTTTAAAAATGCTTTTTCTATAGACCTAAGAAACTGCAGTATTAAGGGCTTAGATTAATATGCCTGTTAACTTTGCTGTTGATTCAGTATACATTGGTAGCTGAAATACTGAGCTATTTCCTCAGTTTCGTCTCTGTAGAATGAGAATAGCAATTCTGATTCATGTTCATAGTGATTTTTAAGTAACATGGATGACGGTGTATGGTAGACATTTTGACTGAGGCTCTATCAGTTGTAATTGAAGAATCACTGTAGGTTTTGGTTTAGAGAATTGGACTTGATGCTCAGGGGGCTGAAGAAGTACAAGTCTCAGCTAAAGGTTCTGTGGGTTAAGAGCTGCAAATAAAATTGTTTATTTATCCTTGAAGGGATATGGAGCCCAAACTCTGTTTAACATGAAGCAACACAGAGAGAGCACAGACGTACTTAAATTCATAAGAATGTTCTAAGCTGCCGATATATTTGGACTTGTGTTTCACCTTAGATTGAGGAACCTCCTTAGGGGTGTAGTTCTTCTCTTCCACGCTGGTTATGCCACCAAGATGACTCTAATGAATTTAATAGTCCGCTAAAAAAAAGTCACTGTCATGTTTCTTCCAGTAGTTATAGTTGGGATTTTTCTGGTCCCGTATTCTTTGAGATCTGTATTTTACTCTACAGTGGAAAAATGAATAATGGTACTAATGGGAAAACAAAAGCTAGTAATGAAATATCCTCTCTTAATACATCACATCTCTATTCCAGTATTTACAGTGTGCATCAGGAGGGTAGAAGGATCTACCAATTAAACTGTATTACATAGGTTTAGGATGCAACTGTTTTAGTTTCGTGGTAGGTTTTAAAATGATAATGTCATAACAAGGAATTTGGTTAATAAAAATAAATATAGAAATTGTGCTGCTTTCCCCGCTCGTCTGCAGCTTTTCTATCTTTGGACTGTTGCCAGGATGCTGCTTTTTTGTGATGTTAAACAGGTGCTTAAACATAGCTCAAGTGAAAAGTAGGAAAAGGGTGTGGCTCTATGCATGCAAGGATACAGCAGACATCAGAAATGCATCATATTAGCAGGGCTTGAAAATTCTGCATTCGTACTGGGATTAAAGCTTCTGGGTTTTGTTGTGAAGTCAAATCATCATGATTTGATCACTCAAATGTCCTGACAATTACTATGACAGGTTTTTTTAAAGTCATATTGTGTTTTCCAGTCATTTGTGTTCAAAATGACTTTGAAAAGAGATCTTGAATGGTGTGTGTACTTGAATGGTGAGGACAGCTGAAGCCTGCATACTAGCGTCTTGGGTACTTACGTCCCTTTCCAGATCTACCTTTCTCTGCAAGTGGTTTATTACCTTTGTCGTTAGCTGTCCAGCTGTCTCAAATTCTGAAGTGTCCTTAGAATTTTTTGTTTCATTGGAATTATTTTTGAATTGACCTAGAAAAGTTGCATATCACTTAAAAGCAGGATTGACAGGTTGCTGTATATTTGAAGGTTTCCTCCTCCATCAGCTTTCTTGGGTGTCAAACCAATATAACAATGCCTTAAAATCAGTTTTAGCAATAAGAGAATGAGAAGCCTAAGGTAATGTGATACCCTTGTAATACAGGTATTATCAGATATGTGTAGGACCACAGTGCCAAGAAACTTGGTGCATGGGATCTGTGTTGGTCTTACAGTCAGGACTTGTTGGTTTATACCATCATCCGTTCCTTGACTGTATGCTGTTTGTTCTGGAGTGCTCTAGGTAAGCATCCTATTTTTAGCTGACTAGTCAGTATGTGCTGCCTTTTGGCAGCCAAAACAAATTGGTGATTCTGGATGAGAGACTGGGTGTCCTGTTTGATGAGAGGGGAGACCACATCCTGGCTGTGTGGTGTGGGCAGATACAGCTTGTGTCTGGCAGGATTTGTTAGACCAGTAAGCGCTGCCTTAATACACCACTTCAGACAAGTTAATAAACCTTGCAGACCCCAGTCTGCTCCATGCAAAGCTACCTCTGATCGGTTGGTGCTAGGTTTCATTAACTGTGGCTCAGCGTTAAGTGCTGAGTGCACCCTATGCTGTGTTCCTCAGTACCCTGCCTTCTTTGGGGTCTTATTAGTTTAGGCAGTTCTCAGCATCTACACAGTTTCCATATTTGTGTCGCACTAAGGCTGGACTGTCCATCTTTGAGTATGGGGAAGCGTGATGCAGGCATGCATTCTGGCCTTGAAAGTGCCTTTGGAGTTGTTGAACGCTGGCAAACCGAATAGTTCCTCTCCCACCACCAAAATCTGTTTGGCCTGTGGGCAGCCAAGCTGATTGCTGAGCAAGCAACAGGGGCAGGTGCTGAGTGGCTGGCTGACACTCACAGAGGCCTGAGGGACTGCAAGTGAAGATAAACTGAAATAGCTCTCTAATCTGGATTGAATGGGATTTTGCTTACAAAAAATTTAAAGGAATCTTTGCAAGGAAAAATCAGTCCTTAAACAAAAAATGATTGAGGTTTGTCTTGTGGCTTTTTTTCTTCCCACGTCCTTCCTTCCTTAGCGACCTGCAAGAACAACTCACTTCATCCTGACTATTTTTTTTTCTTTTGAACTGGAAAATCATATTAAAGAAGTTATTGGCTGACTGAGTTTACTCGAGTTGCTTTAGGGGAATTTATTGCCAAATGTAAAATAAGCTTCAGAACATGGCAGTTGCAAGTGAAATAAGACTTAATTTTCTAAGCATAAAACTACAAACAATAGAAGTAAATGAGTTTTACATGGAAGCCAGCGGATGGAAAAAGACATTACCCTCTTGCAGTCCAAAAGGAAATTTAAAGCCACCAGTTACATAAATACAGGAATTTTAGAGATGTGTTTGATTAGAAGTCAAGAATTTGGGTTAGTATTTTTCACATTTATTGCAATAATTAATCTCTCTTGAATTCTAAAGCATTAAAAATATTTTCTAATTACTGGTTCTCCTCTGTTACTTCAACCACAGCAGACTCTCTTGGTTCATAGCCTTAAATGTCTTTTTGGAAGTGAGTGCTCTGTGAGTGCTCTCTTGGTAGGAATAGGATGAAGACTGAAAATATGTCTTGCCTGTGTTAGCATATCTGTTTTCAGAAAGGTGAAAGACATTATTAAATATTGCCAATTGTTGAGATTTTTATGTTTCCAATTAGCTTGCTTATCCAGGTGAATACTCACTGAATTTGGCTTCTGTCAAGTTACTCTTATAAAAAGAAAAAAACCCAACCAAACAACAACCTAACAACTTCCATGAAGTTTGCAGAAAGAACTCCAAGGTGTGTATTAAATTCTGGATGAAAACCCGAAGCAATGATGAGTGTGGAAAAGACATAAATTTCATTCTAAATGCATTGATTTCAGTTATGTTACTCTCTAATGGTTTTCTATTACTTGGGTCTTTAATAGGGAATCTTCTGCCTGGCATGAGGCAGCTGACTATGTAGTACTAGGAAGAATTAAAATCAACCCAAGGGTAAATGACATAGTTTAATTGCAGCTAGAGAAAATATAACCTATGTGTTTCATATGATTGTCCCTAGAAATACACGCAGGGCAGCAGAAGTCTGGATGGATGAGTATAAAAATTTCTATTATGCAGCAGTGCCTTCAGCCAGGAATGTACCTTATGGCAAGTAAGTCACAAGTGCTTCTTTGCCCTATTCATTTATTCTTCATGAGACAGCACCTTCTGAGGTGAAAGCAGTGCTAGCTCTCACGTGTTATCTAAGATATAGTTCTACAGTTCTACTGTTCCTGAGTTTTCTGTGTCTTCCTTAACGTATAGACAGCAACCTGACTTTGAAAACTGCTCCTTTTTTCCCCTCTAGTATTCAAAGCCGAATGGAACTCAGAAAGAGACTTAGCTGCAAACCCTTCAAGTGGTATCTTGAAAATGTTTATCCTGAGTTACGGTGAGTTTTGGCTGAATCAGAGATGGTATGGAGTTCTCTTTTTTCACTCCCCAGAAATCATCAGTTTCTCTTTCTCCTTCCTTGGATCTAAAGATGTTTTTTAATTTATTTGTGAAAGCAATGCCTCATGTGGGCTTATTTGCTTTTGTTTTTTATTAGTTCTATTCCTAAAGAGCCATTTTTCCCTAGTAAGCTGTTTTTTCTGCTTACTGCAACTACAGTGGCAGTAGCAGGTATTTTAGAGAACAGTGTTCAAAGAACTCAACTTATCTGAGCCTGAAGTTAGTCTCCTACACAATCCGTTTGCTCAAAAGTGCACTGTTCTGTATCCTGTTGTCATCCCTTTAAAGCTTTTGCCTTCGCCTAAGCACGTGACTAGTTGAGTGAGAAGACTGAATCTCAGTACAGTACAAGTAACAGGAGTCAGCAGACAAGAGAGCCTTGTATGTTTGGCAGACAAGGGTAGATGCCTAAGACTCTAAGAAGCTGAGTCTTCTGCTCTTTCTGTCACTTGTTCTCCATCACTGGATAATCACTGACTTTTGGGGGGTGTGAGAAGAGGGAGATGAGGGGTAACATTGCTAACAGTTTCTCTAACACGAATGCATCCTAACTAATGAAAAATCCTCAAAGAGAAACATTCTTACCACTTTTTGAAAGGATAAAAAGGTTTTTGTTCAATAACCTAGTTGTTAACAAGTATGTCTGTCAGATCTGAGTCTATAAACTAGTTTGTCTGCTGTCAACCTAATATTGATAGTGTAATGATAAGATACTGTGTGTGGCTTATAAGAATACTTGTTTTTTTCCTGGGAGCACTTCATGTCAGTAGAGTCAGGTAACTGCCAGTGGCATACAGGCTTGGAACGCAAAAGCACCGGCCATTACAGCCCTAGTGAAACATGTTCAGAATGACACATATTAAAGAGTCCCATAAACCAGGGTGATGCTGAGGAAGTAAGTTATTCTTTATTTTCCCTTAAAAGTGCCAGAGGATACTTATTTTTGTTTAATTTGTCAGAAAAAATACATCTTGCAAGCTCTCCTGGAAAATGTGCTACCATAAGCATTACTTAAGTGTAATGTCGTCTTACTCTGTGTCATCTTGCATGTGCTCAATCTGCTGGATGGAATTATTATACTCATATTATAGTCTGAAATTTTAAAAGGAGCTAATATGCCCTTGCTTTACTGTTTGACATGACCTCATGGTCTCTACCCCACAACTGTACTTTGTTGAATGGGTTTGCCTGGGTATTACAATACTGTATGAGTACACTTTATGTGCAACCATTAGAAAATAGATATCAGCAAAACTTTTTTAAATTCCTAACCCCTTTTCTAATACTTCAGTAAAAACAGTGGGAAAAATGTAGAATGTCATCTTTCTGCCACAGACTAGCTTGGCTGAGAAAACAAGAGGGCTTGATGACCTTGACTGATAGCATTAGGCTTGAATGACCTTAAATTATGATGTTAAGTCATCTTTAATTTGCCTTTTGTGCTGAGTATATATGTTCATCCTCATTCTCTGGTACAAGTCTTTTTGTATTCTGTCCTAAGCTTGCAAGTTTACTGGTGTTTGATCAGTTCGTGATCAGATAATTGCCTTCCCTCCTCAGAAGATGGTTGAGATTTCCAGGTAGTAGTCATCACTCATCTTTAACCTGTCATCTTAAAAACACTCTGAGTAAAGACAATGAGTTTAAAAAGCAAAAAAAAAAAAAAAAAGAAACGAAACTGAATGAAGCAGATATTTCTGGTTTTATTTTAGGGTACCTGATCATCAAGATATAGCTTTTGGGGCTTTGCAGCAGGGTACCAATTGCCTTGACACTTTGGGCCATTTTGCAGATGGTGTTGTTGGAGTTTATGAATGTCATAATGCCGGGGGAAACCAGGTCTGTATGCCTTTTTTTTTTTTTTTTTAATGATCACATACTGTGGGGAAAAAAAAATTGAAGTGAAACTTTTTAACTCAAGCAGGTACTGTGTATTGGTGATAGGAAGATGAACGCAAATCAGCAGATCAGTTATTATAACAGATTGGCTAAATAACTTCTCCTTCAGATATGATTTTGCATTTTCAGGATTAGAATCTGAAGCCAGAGATTCATTCAGTGTGCATCAGTGTGCATCCCTTTACTTTGTCTCTATTAATATTTGCTTTTATAGTAGAGGCCAGTAACTTCCTTCCCAGGAGCTTTATACTTGTACAGAAAGCTTTTTTCAATGAATTGGTGTGTTTGATTTTTTGGGGGGGATTTTTACTTAAGAAAAGATTTGGGTTGTATTAAGCATGTGGCCTAAGGTCAGCAAAATAGAAGAATGCTTTACTGTGATGCCCTATTAGTCACTTCCAATTTGCGGTAGCAGGGTATAAAAAATCTGTCTTAAATCCCCTTTTAGCTCTTCTAGAAAACAGAGGTGCCTAAATGTCATATCCTATTCACTCACAGTAAAGGGAGTGTTTCAACAAATCCTTTCTAATCCTACTCTTAAACTAATTGCAAATGTGTCAAATCTGTAAATGAGAGTATTAATTATTTCAAAGAATCTATTTATGCAGTTGTGACTTAGTTATCATTCATGAAATATATGCATACGTGCTCACTGTTTTGTGTGCTGCTTTGTCAACGAAATTCTTTTCAGAATCAACCTGACTATAAATCAAATGTAAGATTAATACTTCAAGTACCTCTTTTAAAATAGGAGGCTGACCAATTACAAATCTAGTGCTGAATCAGTATCAGAATTTTGCTCTCTCTGATTTAAATTAGAAGGGGAAAACCCTAAAATCAGACTAAGCCTAAAATAAAGAAGTTGTTTCCTGGAAGAGGTATCATGTTGATTTGAATGCATTGCCATCATACATCTGAGATATGCCTCTTTTTCCTGTCATTAAAGAGAATATATCTGGGGAGGCTTTTTCTATTACTTTTATGAAAGTACACTCATCTTTCAGAACACCACAGTGTTTTTTAGGAGAAAGGGGTGGACATGTCAGAATTGCTTTGGTGCAGAAATCTTGGAAGTTTCTGGTGATGTTGTGTATTCTCTATAGATACACAAAGTTAACTTCCTTTTTCAAACTCCCCTCCCCTGAATCTGACCCTCTTTCCTGTGTAATTTCTTCTGTGGAGCTGACCTTGACAAACTAATATACACTTGCTCTGTCCCTGTGAGAGGACATTCAGACAGATTAAGAGGCAGAACGGGTCAAAATGAGGTTTTATGTCCAAGCAGAATTCATATTGGGTTGGAGGGAATGAACAGAGTGAGCTCAGCATGGGAGAAGAGGGATAGGGAACAAACCAGAGTCTTTAAATCTGTACTATGTGTTTTGCACCTATTCTTATCAAGAAGGTTTGGGGGGAGTTGGGATTAAGAGTACTCAGATATTATAGGCTGTGGAGACCTTCTCCTATAAATTGAAAAGTGTATTCTGGCTTATACTCAACATGACTTAAAATGCAAAATGCAAAATGCCCCGCCCACCCCAACAGGTTGGTGGAATTCAGTGATTAAAAAGAGCACCTCTAAAGAGCTGAAGAAACTGTGGTGTATTTGACAATTATGTACAAATATGTAAGGTTATGATAAGGAGCTAAAAGTAAAGCCAAATGCACTTAGGTGAAAGGGGAAGGTTCCAGGTTCGTGGTGTTCTACTAACTTTATATTTCTGATTTGATGTCCTGATTTTCAAATTGTTACACAGACCTGTCCTATTTCCTGCCTGTGCCCTGAGCACATACACTGCTTGCAATTTTTCTTCTCTTCTGGTGTAGTGGAACTTGCTTAATCTTATCTCCATTATAGCTAGTCATAGTTCCTAATCACTGGAGGAAAGCATCTATACACTCTGTTTCGTACCATGAAGGGCCATCATATAGATGTCTCCAGCAGCAGAGCTTGGAGCTTTTTGGCTTTGAGAGGTGTTATTTCTTGCATGATTGCTGTTGTGTCTGGGGCCCTTCCAGCCTTCTGATGAAAGATGTATAAAGTAATATCTTCAAGGATCTAACTTTCTCTGACTGCAGGGTTCTCAAACACGAGTTTTACCGCTTTCCTGGTAGTGTTTTCAACTGTTACTATTCAGTATAAATCTTATAAGGGGGCCATTTTTTTCAGGGGCATTTGTGATTCCTGGTAAGTTCTGAAAATAACTTAATTCCTTAAGCTGTTAAAAGTGGCTATTAATGATTCTTGTTGACATCTTACAAACTGGACAGAGCTGAGAAGGCAAGTGATTTTGCTGTCATTTGAGATTAATATAGTGGAAAATATTTTGCATATTGAGAGTGAAAAGAAAAGTTTTCAGCTAATGGGTTTGGGAAACAAGTAAAGGGATACACAGAGTTCTCCTGCCTTTTCTTTGTTTTGCATAGTTGTCATTATTCTAGTACTTGCATAATACGGTACCCATCTAATGGCTTGCTACCTGTACAATGGTGATTACTTGTAATCGTGTGGGATAGAAGTTCTGATTGTTTCCTGAGCATCTGTTTTCAAAGGAATTTAGTAATTTAACAATTAGATTGTTAAATCTGCTGAGTTTAAAAGTGATTATGCAAGCCAAAAATTCAGTTATGGTATTAGAAAATAAGTAAAAAAAAGGATGGGATTAGTCATTTAATTTCTGAAACACTCATTGCTTGCAAAATAACATTTAAATGTAGCCAGGCTTGGCCCTGTGTATCTAGGGTTTTGTATTACACAACTCTGAATCCTTTTTAGTTGCTGGAGAAAAGCTAATCATGCCTTTTTAAGTAGCGACGAGCATGATTTGGATAATTAGCATGGCTTTAGTTGATAGATCAGCTTCCTTCCTCAAAGGATAATTAGACAAATGAAGACCAATCTGGATCCTGGAGACCAAACTTTGGGGAGAAAGGCACGGACAGAATCTGAACATCAGTGCAAGATTAGGCCCTGCATAGAAGGATGCTGAGATCAAATAAGCTGGGCAACAGTACATCCAGAATGGCTTTTCTTTGCTCTCTATTTAAGAAGTTGCATATTCTGTTGTACATCATGCCTTGGATAGGAAGTAACATTCTCCCTCTACCCTTGAGTTTGGCCTGCTTGTGTATTGCTTTCTGGTGGTCTCTATCATATTAAGAACTACTGTTTCCTCACTGTGGTACATATGCTTTGTTTAGGGTGTGGGTAGGGTGGCCAGTGATGCTGCAGCCCAAGTTTTTAGGGTTTTTATATATATAA